CCTTAAAAATTCCTGTGTTCGCTACTGATACATACTCTTTTCAAGATTAAAGAATACAAATCATCCTTTTTAACAATACAAAAGAAGGAGAACATTATTTTTAAAAAATTTGTTTTTATGAGTGTAAAACATAAGATATTTTTTGCCAAATCCCTGGTTGGGATTTGGCAAATATATCTTTGAAATACTCTACGATTCGCACAGATTTACTGTTGATCAGTGGTCTTCAAACTTTTTTAATTCATGGAACCCCTAGAGCTTGAAGGTGCTTTCGTCGAACCTCTAGAACTAGAAAGTGTTTTGGGGAACCCCTAGAACTATTAAGTGTTTTCGTGGAGCCCCGTTCCATACACATATTTCGAAAAATATATCTCAATATATATATATAATATTTAAAGTAGATCAACACATGTCATGGATACTTTATGTAAAGGTAATTAAAAAAAGTATTGCATTTATTATTAAAAAATTCTAATATAATTTCAAGTGTCACCTATTCATGCATTATATTTAGTAACTGAGATATGTGATTTCATTTTTTCCCATGAACTGTCGAGGTCCAGGTCTATTGAGATTAAGGTATCCGACTACGTTCAGAACCGTGATTTTAAAAAAGCAATTTAATGGATAATTTTCATGATGTTTAGTGTCACTTAGATTAGAATATATGTATAAAATTATTTTAAGGACATTTTAACAAAAAAAAAATTATTTATATATATATAAATGCAATATTTCGGCAAAAAATTAACTTAGAATAGCTTTTATTCAAAATGTTCTCCCTTTGTGAAAAATGCTTCTATTATAATAATATTTTGCCTGTATATAGCTCAGACCTCTGTACAGAGGCTCAACTATGAATTTTGAAAAATTCACATTAGTTTCAGAGTTACAACCCATTGAAATAATTATCGGCGTTTTTTTTCTTAAAATGTCTCCCCTCTGTTGTTGTAAAACATGGATAAACCCACTTCTAAGTAATATATTTCAAAAATTCTAGTTGAGCCTCTGTACTGAGATCTGAGCTATATATAGGCAAAGTATTATTATAATAGAAGCATTTTTCGCAAAAGGAGAATATTTTGAAAATTGTCCATTTTATGTTTATTTTTTGTCAAAATATTGTACTTAAATAATTTTTTGTTGTAATACTATTCTTAAAACCATTTTATATTCATTTTCTAATCTAAGTGACGCTAAATATCATAAATATTATCCATTTATACGCTTTTGCAAAATCACGGTTCCGAACGTAGTAGGATACCTTAAATGCAATCTTATTACATATTCCAAATTTAATTTTTTTTTTATACTTTGGTTTTTTAGCCCCACTTACGTTGAAAAATATATTTCATTTAAACACTATGTTCTGAATGGCGTTAAAATGTTTATATCTGTGTGAGAAATCTCGTGTATTTTGCATGAGAAAAAATTTAGAGAAGCAGTTCCTACTTAAATTTAGATTTTAATATCGAATTTGTTGATATGTTGATAAGAGTTGTTTCCTCTTTTTCCCATAATAGGTATTTTTTCCACAAATGTAAAAAAGTGCATTTTCCATTAGAAAACTATTTAGTTTTACAAGACATTGTGCTATAACTAACGAGTATAAAAATGTCCCGTGGAACCAGAGTTAGTAAACTATAGAATATTCACAATCTATAGTAGGAAGTGTATATGTAAATATAAAACGCGAGCGTCTTAATATTCTTATGTTATACTACCATAAAAGTTTAAAAAGTGTTGCACAAAATAAAATTATTATATATAAATAAAATGCTCACAGTTTTAATGAATAGAATGAGCTTTTGATACTTGTAACTATACAAACTTCATAGAGAACGTGTGTGTGAATCCATTTTGCATACATACTTATTTCTTCTCGATTTTCTTGTGACTCGGGGAACCCCTGGGTTCCATGGAACACAGTTTGAAGACCACTGCTGTAGACCAATTCTATGCCTTTGGCAAACTTCATTTCAAAACTACAGATATTTTCCGACCTAAGGGCTGGTTTGTAAAACTTCCTAATCTACAAATCTTTATTGATCTACTTCTAATAAAAATAAGGAGGCAGAGAGAAAAGAACAAAAGCCACCCCAAGAAAAATGAGGAGAGATGATGGAGACCCCACTGCAGAGCAAATAATTGCTCCCCACTACATTGTTCTATGAAATTTATGATGTTTCTTACACACAGAGTCATGTTTCTCTGTGTTGTCCTCTTGACCTTATTAAAAAAGACTGCTATAAGTTCAGTAAATTGCAGTTAGATGGGAAAGGGACCTATATATTCATTCTTATTTTTCCAAGAAACGTGAAACACCTTGCGATTTTGTGGGGCGGAAGCTAAGCCTCACTGTGAACTAAAATCTGAAATAATAGCTTTGAATTCCGTCTTTTATCTATACCTCACAAAAGGTAGAACATTTCCTTCGCTTGATTTTTATTTGTCATTGATATAAATACTTGGATTTTTAAGCGAAGAAATAATAGTTTGAATCATGTTGATGTACTGAAAGAGTTTTATAATTTTTGGTGACATAAAGTTCTATGTGTGTGTTGTATAATCCAATATATGCGTGTAAAATATAAAATAACTTATGGCTTCATTTTTCATATATCAGCTCTCTTAAGAAAAAAGTACATGGAAGAGTTGTAAATAAAACATTTTTTTTCCAAGTAGTGTAAAAATATCGAGCGTATAGAAAAAATAAACTAGGGCTTAAAAACCTCAGTAAAAGCTATTACAAAACAAGTGATATAAAAAAAAATTAAGTCAATCAACTTAGGTCAACACAGAAAATTTTTATTTTAATTACTTTTTATTAAATAGTTGCAATTAATATAAATTTGTACATACATCTGACAGAATCACAATATTAAGTGACAAAATAGAAAGCAATTTTCCTTGCAATTTTCCATTTTCCTTTCCAAGGTTGCTGGACTACTTTTTTTTGTGTGTTTGTTACTATTTATTCATATATTACTATTTTATTAGGTAAATAAAATTTATAGTAAAAAAGAAATCACATTCTCAGAAACTAAGCCATCCAAGGTAGGATTCGAACCCACGACTTTTAGATTAGAAGTCCAACGCGCTATCCATTGCGCTACAGGGACACAACAAAAGGTTTTCCTTTCTGTGTATGCTGTTGTACTATTATTTTTGTTACTATTTATTAATTTTTAATTTATTTAAGGAATTAATATTTGATAAAATATGTTAACATCAAGTGTCCTCCCCTAAAAGTTTAAAAAAATGTATTTGAACTTGAATGGATGAATAGAAAGTATTTTATTAACGATTGAAAATTTGAACAAGATATATATATTTATAGGAAGAGAATGAACTAATAGTAGGAATTGAAACAAAATTGGTACTAAATAGTGAAAGGTTGAAAACCGCTATATAACTTAGACTTTATTCATAGTCAGTTTATTTTATAATATTTGTCTCCTAAAAATGTATATTATATGCAGAATGATTTGGAAAAATTCTTGAATCTTTTAAAAATTCAGTTTTGATTGAAAAGAATTAGCACTACGTTATATTTAAAAAATATAACAATAATGAGAGAAAATTTTACTGAAAAATTTATTGGTTGTTAGAATCACACAGTCTTCTAAATAGTCTTTTTTTTTTTTTAATGAAAAGTAAATTTTAATAAAAAAAAACAAAGCTTTATTAACTATGAAAAAGTTATTTATGCTAAAATTAACTAAGTCATATTTTTTATTACGTTTTTTCTTGGTATCTATATAACTAAATTAAATTGAAACTTTACTTTTCATATTAGCATATGTTCTAATTTCTCTAACACGGTTCTGTTGGAAAATGACTCTTACTTTGACCTTTTCTATATATATATTACATGTGATTTTTATCTTTTATAACAAATAAAATTAAAATATCGACAACGAAGTAAGATTCGATTTTAAAGATGACTATTATTAGATCCTACGTCAAGTGTTGAACTGTATGTAAAAAACCAATATAATGATGATTATATAGTCAAGTACCCAATAAATAAAATTAATATACATGTATTATATTATCTAAGATTGAAAAAAACATAGTAGAAAATGTCTTCTAGGGAGAAAAAATATTAACGCTTAAATGCACTACGCTGTTAAAAAAAAAAAAAAAAAAATTACATTACCAGAAATTATTTGTGACAGCTATCAATTATTTACGCGATTACGTTAAAAAAAAACTTTTTAAATACGAAGTAACCAGTAAATGAGATTTCGGGAATGTTATTTTTTATAAAATATGGCTGAAGAATTTAATTTTAAAAATAATTTAATATTAAAAATGGAAAATTAAAGAATCTGTAACACAGCATGTACAGCAATTTAATGCCTATCAAACAACCACGGTGTTGTTTCATTTCTGAATTGATTAAAGCGCAGAACTTAATATAAAAATAAAGATTTCTAGAAACACATGAAATAAGATTGAACCTCCAAGGTTAAAAGAACTAAAATAACCACGCCTACGTTGTATGAGCAACGCCACGAGCGCGCGCGATATAAATAACGAATTCATATGAATATTTACGTTTTACAAATAGCAGATTTATTTTTTCCCTGTCAAATTTCTTTCCTTTACATTCTTATTCTTATCTCCGAATATAAATAATTTTATACTACAATCAAACATATCATTAAATTGTCTCTCTTCTAGTTATCAAATAACAATAACGGAGATTGTAGTAGATGTAAACTGATAATAACGGAGATTGTAGTAGATGTAAACTGATAATAATGGAGATAAAATTAAGAAAATTATTTTCCAAGGAAATATGTGCCCGCGGTAACCTAGTGGTCATGAGCACGAACTCGTTGCCGGCGTGTTATGAGTTCGAGCCCTACTGCAACTGAAGAACCGCTGCGTAGAAGGTCTAATGCACGTTAAATATGTTTAGGTTCAAAGTCCTAAGCGGGGTGTGGAAGTTAAAAGATTGGGGTTCCAGCTCCGGTGTTTTCCTCCTCACTTGACTGTGGTTCAAAATTACGAGGTCCGTCTCCAATAGCCCTCGGATAGCTTTATAGTGCGATGTTATTAAACACTCACTCGTAAGAGAATATTATTATCATAAGGTACACACACAACTATATATATAAAATTACGCTAGTTATATGTAAAAAACGAGGATTTCTTTGTGAGCATAAATTATTTAAATAGTGATTTTCACAAGTGAACACGATTCGGTGCATCCAGTGGCGTAACGGAGAATATTA